CTAGACAATGCACAAAAGGGACATTTAGGCTTAAAAGCAAACAGCAAGGCAGTGCCTTTTTCTTCTGTGACTGAGATAGTCAGGAATCTTACAGAGGTGGATTTAGGGGAGTACGATACATAATGGAAGTTTATATATATAATTTTTATTAAATTTTCTGTTTTACAATTTGAAGTACTCATTTCTACATCCTTAAGGTATCGATGACTTCCCTTCTTCTCTTTCCATGGCTCATTTTTCATATCCATAAATCCCTGCATATTTTACAAAAGCTATACCATGTGGGTAAAAGCCTCAGTGCCTAGGACTTGCCGATCGAAAGGTCGGCGGTTCGAATCCCCGCGGCGGGGTGCGCTCCCGCTGCTCGGTCCCAGCGCCTGCCAACCTAGCAGTTCGAAAGCACCCCCGGGTGCAAGTAGATAAATAGGGACCGCTTTCCAGCGGGAAGGTAAACGGCGTTTCCGTGTGCTGCGCTGGCTCGCCAGAGCAGCGATGTCACGCTGGCCACGTGACCCGGAAGTGTCTCCGGACAGCGCTGGCCCCCGGCCTCTTGAGTGAGATGGGCGCACAACCCTAGAGTCTGTCAAGACTGGCCCGTACGGGCAGGGGTACCTTTAGCTTTACCTTTACCTTTATACCATTCTGTATTCCATTACTGCATCCATCAAAACTTATTTACACTGCTGAATTTATCTTAATGCTGCCAGCGTTTTCAGCTGTACACAGTTATTTCCCATATATTCAAAAAATGTTTTCCAATCTTCTCCAATTATGATGTTCTTCTTCTCTCATTCTATATGTTAAGTCTGCCAGCTGCACATATTCTGTCAAGTTGCCATTCCTCTTTAGCTGGGACCTCGCTTGTTTTCCATTTTTGAGCTAACAAAACACGGGCCACAGTAGTAGCACACATAAATAACCTTTTTTGACACCTGGGAATTTCCGTCTGAATTATTCCCAACAGAAAAGACTCTGGGTTTTTTGGGAAAGTACTTTTAAACATTTTTTTCCAATTCATTATGGATCATTTTACCCTTTTACAGGTCCACCACATATGAAAGTTCCCTCAGCCTCTTTGCGTCTCCAGCATTTATCTTATTCAGTTTTATATATCTTAGCAAGCCTAGGTAAAGGGACCCCTGACCATTAGGTCCAGTCGTGGCCGACTCTGGGGTTGCGGCGCTCATCTCGCTTTACTGGCCGAGGGAGCCGGCGTACAGCTTCCGGGTCATGTGGCCAGCATGACTAAGCCGCTTCTGGCAGCGCACGGAAACGCCATTTACCTTCACGCTGGAGCAGTACCTATTGATCTACTTGCACTGGTTTCGAACTGCTAGGTTGGCAGGAGCAGGGACCGAGCAACGGGAGCTCACCCCATCGCGGGGATCCGAACCGCCGACCTTCTGATCGGCAAGTCCTAGGCTCTGTGGTTTAACCCACAGCGCCACGCGCATCCCCTTAGCAAGCCAACTTGGCATTAAATACCATCTGTAAATCATTTTCAAGTAGTTCTCCTTTGAAGAATAACACGCTGTGAACTTCAAGTCACTTTTCCTCTGGGAAAAACTTTGGAAAAACGATGCATAATGGAAGTTGAGAGGCAGAGTACCACCGAATTTTGGCGCTGCTGAAATCAGAGACCCCGGGGGCCGCCGCTGACTGTTCCAAAACAAAGGCATCATAATTCCCTACATTTCAGTGTAATTAGAAAAGGTGCAACTCTTTGCGTTTCTTCTTGGGCCCCGAGAAGCCAGACTTCCATACACAAGCAGTGAAACATGAAATATTTAGCCTGATAGAACCAACCTGCTTAAGTCTCATGAACGCATGGAGGGGTTAATACTGTCCTATCTCCTTTCAATCTCTTCTTTTCCAGGCTAAACATCCCCAGCTCCTTCAACCGTTCCTCATCAGGCTTGGTTTCGAGACCCTTGATCAGGGCAGTCTTAAGCATATGCGGCGCCGGGGTGCAAAAATCCCCCCCCCCGATTACCCAGAGTTGTTGACTTTGGGGGGGGCAGCGTGCTCTGGGCCACCCGTCGAGGTGCGCAGGCAGGGCAGAGCAGGGCACAGAGGGGCACGAGGTGGCGGCGATAGGCTGGGCACCTCGTCAGGTGGGCAGCTAGTAGTTAGTAGAGAATATATAATAGAACAACGACATCACTCAAACCATACGAACAAGCCAGTCAAAGTTCATATGTAGGAATGAATTTTATTATTACGGTCACAGACCAGTTCCGGCTCACTTACAATATCAGGAAATCATAAAAAACAACAGGAATACATGGAATTGCAATTGGGTATAACAGAGACAATTCAGATATAGCGGCAGTTAAAAATATATATTAAATCTTAATCACTAAAATATAACCTAGAATTGTCAAAGTTCATACGTAGACTATTACAGGGGATCTGGTTATCTCATGCTCTCATGTACTATTTCAGACATGTGGTTCATAGACTTATGTATGTGTTTGCCTTGTAAATTATATGAAAATTTATTTGATATTTGAGGCCTTGGCATTCTTAGAACAAGCCTGAAGGACCAGCCCCACAACCCTGTATCAGGAACACCCCCCCACACACACACACAAACGCATGTGTGTTCCTTTTCAATCACTCCCTTCCGCACAAAGGAGGTTTCTTTCAGACACAATGTCAAGCCACAAACGTCTCCGCTTCCTGGCTTCCCCATCATCAACAAATTTAAGTTTGTCCGGCGACACCAAATATTAGCCCGGGGCGTGCGTTCCTGCGTCAACTCACTGGGCTCCTTGTGCACGGCACATTCTTTCGGGAGGAATCGGTGGGGAGCGTGGCGAACAGGGGCAAAAATAATAATAATACGGAGGGGAGTGATGAGCTGTTTCCTTGAGGGGCTCTGGCCAAATATTGACTGGAGTCTTTATTTAGCCGGAGTCCAGAAAGCAGCACTTTGGCTCCACTTCCTCGTCAGAGTTTGCCAACGTTTTTCCACCGGGAGACGACACTGGCAATGGAAAGGAAATTTACCAGGCCGTGACCCTGCTTGAATGCCAGGGCTTGGCACATTAAATAAGTTGGAGTTCTTGTTATTAAAAATACCAAGAAAAAAGCCCACCAAGAACTCAGACCAATGTAAGTTTCAATAGTGGGAGTGGTCCCTACTCACATGTCAGTAGTAAATAGTAACAAAAACTAATCCATTCAAAAGTATGTATTCTGACAAGAATTACAAACTTAAGTAGAGATTACAAGAGAAAAAGAGAAAATCTTTGCAACGAATTATTGTGTTATTGTGTTATACATATCTTTATGAGTTTGAGACTGTAATCTCTGTTAGATTTTCTCTTTTCCACTGGACAATAATGCACAGAAAAGCTCAAGATACACTTTGATCTATGGGAGACGCGGGTGGCGCTGTGGGTTAAACCACAGAGCCTAGGATTTGCTGATCAGAAGGTCGGTGGTTCGAATCCCCGCGATGGGGTGAGCACCTGTTACTCGGTCCCTGCTCCTGCCAACCTAGCAGTTCAAAAGCACGTCAAAGTGCAAGTAAATAAATAGGTACCGCTCCAGCAGGAAGGTAAACGGCGTTTCCATGCGCTGCTCTGGTTCGCCAGAAGCGGTTTAGTCCTGCTGGCCACATGACCTGTACGCCACATGAGCTGTACGCCGGCTCCCTCGGCCAGTAAAGCGAGATGAGCGCCGCAACCCCAGAGTTGGTCACGACTGGACCTAATGGTCAGGGGTCCTTTACTTTACACTTTGAAGTAGGAAATAACAGGATATATTTATCCGAAAGTCTTCAAACTTACACAACCCTTTAACTGATGAAGGTGAATACATCGAAACAGGGCCCTGATCCATAACTGGCTTCTGACTTCTGTTCTGTGATTGAAACTGAGTCTCCATCTGTGAGCTGATAAATTATAAGGATCAACGTTATTGTCGAGTAACGAAAAGAAAAGAACTCACACTGAAACTCACCTACAGGTGGTACCTAACACCAAGGAAACTAGCGCTAATACACCCAGGAACCTCGCCAAAATGCTGGAGAGGGTGCACCTCCACAGGCACATACCTCCACATGTGGTGGGAGTGTCCCAAAATCCAACTATTCTGGACAACAGCCATACAAGAAATATGTAAATAACTATGCAAGTAATAGACACCACCCCAGAATTGGCCCTACTAAACATCTTCCAAGACAGCAATGCCCATTTACACCACAAAGAACTCATAACCCACCTGCTCTCAGCAGCCAGAAACACCATAACCAGACACTGGAGAGAGCTGTCAGGAGTAAGCATGGACCAATGGTACCAAATAGTATGGGAGACAGCCCTACTAGAAAAGTTAACTAATAAACTGAAACTGACACGGGGACAAACAGAAGAAGACACCTTCACCCCGGTATGGCTCCCCTTTATCACATACACAGCCCAACAGGACAATGACAATAATCCACCAACAGCATATAAATCAATATGGCTAACCTGACCCAAAACACCCACCCACCTCACTCACACACGAAAACAAAGATCACCACAGCCAATCACAAGCAAACAATCACACCCTTGGCCAACCCCAACCTCTCTCACCACCAAAGGAACACAACTGAACAACACAAGCAACGCTGACACCAAACTCTACATACATTAAACATAATAGAAACACCGCCACCCGACCCCACCCCTATCCATCTTCCCTCTCTCCACCCCCTTTCTTTTTCCTTTCTTTTTCTTCTTCTCCCCCTAATGCCTCAACAAATGAAACGGATTTGTAAAAATGTTACATGGGGGGAAAAAATACGAGGCACTACACTTCTGTAAAACAAGAAAATCCTCAATAAAATATTTTTTAAAAAAGTTATTGTCGAGTGAAATGGAGGCGGCGGCGGCGGCGAGCCCGAGGGGAGGGCGCTGTCCATGGTGCGCCTCCCTCCGCTCCTCCGGTTGGACGGCTGCCTGGGAAAAGTGGGTGGGGAGCCGTCGGGTGGGGCGGTGGCTGGCCCCTCCACCTTCTCCCCGCAGCCCCGGGTGCCCATTCCTGGCTTGGCTGGCTCGGTGCGCTCGCCATGGCCGCGGAAGGGCGCCCCTCGACGGCGCTGTCGTGCCTGCTGCTCCTGCCAATGTTGTTGCTGCTGCTGGCGGCGCGCCCCGACGGCGCGGACGGCCAGCATCCCTGGAGGCAGCAGATCCGCTGGGAGAGCGGAGGGAGGCTCTTCAGCCTCTTCAACAGCGCCGCCCGCCTGCGGCCGCCCCGTCGGGGTCCCGCCGGCGACCACCACCAGCCCCAGAGCCTCTACCTCAGCATCGCCGCGCGCCCCCACGGCGGAGCGCTCCGGACCCCGCCGGCTCCCGGGCGCGTCCCGCGGGCCGGACCCGTCGCCCTCCAGGCCACCCGGGGCTTCCCCGGTTGGGAGGAAGAAGGCTCCGGGATGGGGGTCCGCGCCGTCGAGGCCAGCCGGGGAGACGCGCCCTCCGGCGCGGACAGGGGTCCCCGAGGGCGCAATGACTCGGCTCCCGGGACCCCTTCTCCAAGCCGGCTGCAGGAGCAGCAGCAGGTCACCCCAGGGGCTGATCGAGGGAGCGGCCCGGCTGGTAGCTGGCCTCCGATGGGGGGCAACGAGATTCAGGGGGACCCCGTCCCCGAGGAAGAGGGTTTCCAGACGCCCCCCAGCGCCTCGACCAGGGACGACCCGCGAAACCCCTTCCAGCGCTGGAATAGCATCTTCTACGACGTCTACCCCGGCGCCAGGCAGCGCCCCTCGACGGCAAGCACCCCCAACAGGAGGCCGGGCTATGGGACCCGATTATTTCATCATGGTGAGCTGGTTGGGGAGTATTGGGGGGGGTGATGGAGCATAGAACCCTAAATATTAAGAGTTGTAGAGTTGAACCATTTAGTCCAGCAGGAATCTTTCGCCCAAATTGGGATTCAAACTCAGAACCCTGAGGTTAAGTGTCTCAGGCTGACTATGGCCTGGGAGGGGGGCGCTGGTGTGGGGGGCAGAGAGGAGTGAGAGAGCACCTGCTTTGCCCAAGGAAGTTCCCTAAAGGAATCTCCAGGTAGGACTGGGAGATGCTGCCTGCCTGGGAAACTAGAGAGTTGCTCTAGATGCTGCCAGTCAGTGCAGACAACACTAGGCAAAGTGGACCGAAGTGCTGGCACAGCTGCCTGCACATCTGGGATCTGAGCTGATTGTACGTACGTGCCACTGTTGTTTTATATTTATCACTTTTCATTGCTTTTTTAAAAAACAACAATTGTTTTAGATATATATAACTGTTTTACATATGCCATCGTGTTGTAAACTGCTTTCGGATGTGAATTTGTAAATCTTTAGGGAACTGGCTGTTTTTAATGGCTGGCACTTTTCTTGTAATTATCTGATTTTCCATGTCTCAGCCCTTCAGATATTTATGGGTGTTATATATTGTTTGTAGGGGTGGCCAACTCCCAAGAGAGTGGCCAGCGATCTACCCCCTTTTGGGGGGTTCAAAGTTGATGAACTTTTTTTAGGAAGGAGGAAGGCCCGTTTTTGGGGGTTCAGGGAAAAGTTGTTTAGCTTTTTTTAGGGGAGACAAAGTGGTTGAGTTCCTTTGGTTGGAGCCAATAATCTGCCAGTGATCTGCCACAGATGTTCAGTGATCTACCGGTAGATCGTGATCTACTTGTTGGACATGCCTGGATGGGACTGGTTTTAATGGTTGTAGCTTGCAGGATTTTCTCTTGTAGAGTAACACATACCATGGACAATACGGATTGATATAAAAGTTAGCATATGGAAGAATATGCAGTTGTAAATGTTCAAAATGAGACTCCATGGAAGGGGGTGGAGGGGAAGTCCCGAGATTTGGAGGAATCTCTGCATATGGATATAAAGGTAAAGGTAAAGGGACCCCTGACCATTAGGTCCAGTCATGGCCAACTCTGGGGTTGCGGCGCTCATCTCGCTTTACTGGCCGAGGGAGCCGGCGTACAGTTTCTGGGTCATGTGGCCAGCAGGACTAAGCCGCTTCTGGTGAACCAGAGCAGCGCACGGAAACGCCGTTTACCTTCCCGCCGGAGTGGTACCTATTTATCTACTTGCACTTTGATGTGCTTTTGAACTGCGAGGTTGGCAGGAGCAGGGACCGAGTAACGGGAGCTCACCCCGGCACGGGGATTTGAACCACCAACCTTCTGATCAGCAAGTCCTAGGCTCTGTGGTTTAACCCACAGAGCCACCCGCATGTGGATATATATTTGGATTATTATAACTTTGTATTTGTAAAGACAAATAAAAATGTTTGCAAGAAAAAAAGTTAATGGTTGTAGATAGATGATAGATAGATAGAGATAGAGATAGAGAGATAGATGATAGATAGATAGATAGATGATAGATAGATAGATAGATAGATAGATAGATAGATAGATAGATAGACAGATAGACAGGTAGATAGCTCTTCATTGTTGTAACCTGCCCTGGGACTTTATGGTAAAGGGCAATAAATCTAACTTGTTTAGACGGCTTCAAATTACAAGAAAGGAGACTAAAATACCAGGAACAACTTTCTGATGGTTAAGAGTTGTTTGGCAGTGGAACGGTCTCCCTCAGGAGGTTGTGGACTCCCCCTCCTTGTAAGTTTTTAAGCAGGGGTGCTTTCGCTGAGATTCCTGCACCCCCAGGGAAGTTCGCCTGGCACCATCATTATACACCTTTAGGCACCAGGCAAAAACATTCCTTTTTAACCAGGCCTTTGGTTGATCTTGACATCCAACACCCTTTTAGAATGTGGCTTTTGGAGGGTGGGGTTATAGGGTTACTGCTTTTTGTTTGATTTTATATGTTGTGGTCTTGTTGTAAATTGCCCTGAGACCTCTGGGTATAGAATCATAGAGTTGGAAGAGACCACAAGGGCCATCGAGTCCAACCCCCTGCCAAGCAGGAAACACCATCAGAGCACTCCTGACATATGGTTGTCAAGCCTCTGCTTAAAGACCTCCAAAGAAGGAGACTCCACCACACTCCTTGGCAGCAAATTCCACTGTCGAAGAGCTCTTACTGTCAGGATGTTCTTCCTAATGTTTAGGTGGAATCTTCTTTCTTGTAGTTTGGATCCATTGCTCCGTGTCCGCTTCTCTGGAGCAGCAGAAAACAACCTTTCTCCCTCCTCTATATGACATCCTTTTATATATTTGAACATGGCTATCATATCACCCCGTAACCTCCTCTTCTCCAGGCTAAACATGCACAGCTCCCTTAGCCGTTCCTCATAAGGCATCGTTTCCAGGCCTTTGACCATTTTGGTTGCCCTCCTCTGGACACATTCCAGTTTGTCAGTGTCCTTCTTGAACTGTGGTGCCCAGAACTGGACACAGTACTCCAGGTGAGGTCTGACCAGAGCAGAATACAGTGGCACTATTATTTCCCTTGATCTAGATGCTATACTCCTATTGATGCAGCCCAGAATTGCATTGGCTTTTTTAGCTGCCGTGTCACATAGGGCGGTGTATGTTGAATTTATTATTATTATTATTATTATTATTATTATTATTTTACTGCCAACACTCAACAGATCCCAAATCTGAGCTGCTTGCTCTGCTTAGGGGGTGAATGAGTCTTCCTGACCTTCCGTGTCTCCTCCTCCCTCGTAGGGCTCCCAGATTTGATTCCCGATCCGTACTTCATCGAAGCAGGCACCTACATCCAACGGGTCCAGCTGTACGCCTTGAAATGCGCCGCAGAGGAGAATTGCCTGGCAAGGTAGAGAGGGACGTACCTTCGCATTTACGTCTCGAGTGCACGTTGGGTGAAGGCAGTGCAGTTGCATGGTGCAATTATTATTATTTTTCATAAATGGGCAAAGAACCATTGCAAGAGGGGGGGTTGTTTGCAAGGGATGTAGCACAATAGGGCCTTCTCCTCTCATGGTGCAATCCAGACCAGGAAAGCCAGTGTCTGTTTTCATCTTGCGGGTTTACGATTCCTTGCGCGTTGTTTTCCCCAGTGGAATTCCCTCAGAAGGTGGAAGATTCTCCATGCTTGGAGGTGTTTTTTAGCAGAGGCTATCTGGCCATCTGGTCGACGGGACGCGGGTGGCGCTGTGGGTTAAACCAGAGCCTTGGGCTTGCCGACCAGAAGGTCGGCAGTTTGAATCCCTGCGACGGGGTGAGCTCCCGTTGCTCGGTCCCTGCTCCTGCCAACCTAGCAGTTCGAAAACACGTCAAAGTGCAAGTAGATCAATAGGTACCACTCCGGCGGAAAGGTAAACGGCGTTTCCGTGCGCTGCTCTGGTTCGCCAGAAGCGGCTTAGTCATGCTGGCCACATGACCCAGAAGCTGTACGCCAGCTCCCTTGGCCAATAAAGCGAGATGAGCACCGCAACCCCAGAGTCAGCCACGACTGGACCTAATGGTCAGGGGTCCCTTTACCTTTATCTGGCCATCTGCAACTGATGCTTCAGTTGAGATGCCATCATTTCAGGGGGTTGGGCCCTCAATGTCCCGTCCAACTCTATAATTCTATGATTTCTATTTCAGTTCCCTAGTTGTTTTGAGTTGAGTCAGTGTCCAAACACAAGCAGGCTTCATCCCCCTTGAGGGCAAAGTTGTCCAAAGTGCATTCAACACAATTTTCACAGGGGTATGATGACTGCCTCTTTCCATATGAACCTACCCAGATTCTGAGATCATCTTCTGAGACCCTTCTTCTTGTGCCTCCTCCTCAAGAGGTCCAGAGGGTGGCAACACGAGAACGGGGCCTTCTCTGCAGTGGCTCCCCATCTGTGGAATGCTCTCCCTCAGGGAAGTTCGCCTGGCGCCTTCATTATACACCTTTAGACTAAGCCAGGCAAAAACATTCCTTTTTAACCAGGCCTTTGGTTTTTGATTGACATCCTTTTAAAATGTGAGGTTTTAGGTTGTTGTTTTTTTATTTTGATTGAATATTGTGTGGTTTTATATTTTGATTTTGTTCTGTGAACTGCCCTGAGACCTCCGGGTATAGGGTGGTATATAAATTCAATTAATAATTATACAGTGGTACCTCTGGTTACGTACTTAATTCGTTCCGGAGGTCCGTTCTTAACCCGAAACTGTTCTTAACCTGAAGCACCACTTTAGCTAATGGGGCCTCCCGCTGCTGCCGCGCAATTTCTGTTCTCATCCTGAAGCAAAGTTCTTAACCCAAGGTACTATTTCTGGGTTAGCGGAGTCTGTAACCTGAAGCGTCTGTAACCCGAGGTACCACTGTAATAAGAAAGGTCCTTAGTAGTCCTGGAAGAAGCAGAAGACTGGAGAACTGGCTTCACACTTTACATAATTAGCAAAGGATTGGCTCCAGGCACACTGGTCCAGGGATGTCAGGATTTAACAATGGTTCGTGCAATCCCAGTTCCCCACCACCAGCTTGTTTCTGGGGGTGTAAAGGTAAAGGGACCCCTGACCATTAGGTCCAGTCGTGGCCGACTCTGGGGTTGTGATGCTCATCTCGCTTTATTGGCCAAGAGAGCCGGCGTACAGCTTCCGGGTCATGTGGCCAGCAGGACTAAGCTGCTTCTGGCGAACCAGAGCAGTGCACGGAAACGCCGTTTACCTTCCCGCTGGAGTGGTACCTATTTATCTATGTGCACTTTCGCCTGCTTCTTGGGAGAAGGGCAATGACAGGCCTAGACAACATCTTGAGAAGTAGAGACGTCACCTTGCCAACAAAGGTCCATATAGTTAAAGCCATGGTTTTCCCAGTAGTGATATATGGAAGTGAGAGCTGGACCATAAAGAAGGCTAATTGCCGAAGAATGGATGGTTTTGAATTCTGGTGCTGGAGGAGACTCTTGAGAGCAGTGGCGTAGCGTGGGGGGTGCAGGGGGGCCGGCCGCACCGGGCGCAACATCTGGGGTTAGGGCAAATCCACAGGTTAGGGGGCACAAATCCATGGGTTAGGGGGCGCAAATCCACGGGTTAGGGGGCGCAAATTACTTGCCTTGCCCCGGGTGCTGACAACCCACGCTACGCCACTGCTTGAGAGTCCCATGGACTGCAAGAAGATCAAACCTCTCCATTCTGAAGGAAATCAGCCCTGAGTGCTCACTGGAAGGACAGATCATGAAGCTGAGGCTCCAGTACTTTGGCCACCTCATGAGAAGAGAAGACTCCCTGGAGAAGACACTGATGCTGGGAAAGATGGAGGGCACAAGGAGAAGGGGGCGACAGAGGACGAGATGGTGGGACAGTGTTCTCGAGGTTACCAGCATGAGTTTGACCAAACCGCGGGAGGCAGTGGAAGACAGGAGTGCCTGGCGTGCTCTGGTCCAGGGGGTCACGAAGAGTTGGACACGACTAAACGACTAAACAACAACAACAACACTTTGACGTGCTTTCGAAGTGCTAGGTTGGCAGGAGCAGGGACCGAGCAACGGGAGCTCACCCCGTGGTGGGGATTCGAACCGCCGCTGCAGGGCTGTTGTGTTGCCATTGGGCAAGGAAGGCAGCGTGAGGGTTAAGGCGCCTGTAGCCATTGGGCAGTGCCCTGGAACAGCGAACGGTCCTTTTCTGCTTATTGATTCTAGCTGGAAAAATGCAAAAAAAAATATTGGTGGGGAGGGTAGAATGAAATGACTCCGTTTCCTGTAAACACCCAAACAAACAAAGCTGTTCTCCCAGGACAGGAGATGCCAAAGGGTCAAGCCTTTGCTTGTTTGCTCACTCAGTCCATGAATGGCCTCTTCTTTCCCTCCTCACCTTCCCTCGCCCTCCTGAATAGACTCCAAAAATAGCTCTCTTTAGAGCTCTCGAAGCTTTGTTATGCTAGGGCAAGAATACTCCCCCTGCCAGCTGTGGAGAATTCCCAACCAGTGGAAAAGTTTCCAGTCTGGCATCCGAATTTCTGTCTGCATCGGGGAAGGGCATAGCTCAGAAGGAGAGCATCTCCCTTGCATGTAAAAGGTCTTGGCTGCCGGCCAGAGTTGACAGCACTGACCTAGATGGACCACTAGCACCAGGATAGCTCAGTGGGTTAGAGCAGGCATAGGCAAACTCGGCCCTCCAGATTTTTTGGGGACTCCAACTCCCATCATCCCTGACCCCTGGTCCTGTTAGCTAGGGATGATGGGAGTTGTAGTCCCAAAACATCTGGAGGGCCGAGTTTGCCTATGCCTGGGTTAGAGGAATGTGCCGATAACGCCATGGTTGCAGGTTCGATCCCCGTATGGGCAACTCTGGCTATGGGGTTGGACCAGGTGATTCTCTGGGTCCCTTCCAACTCACCTTTGCACCTGCCTTACGGGGGGGGGCATTTGCAGGCTTAACTTGGGCCAGAGGGCTGCCTTTACCTTCTAGGAGGCCACATGCTTGTGGGGGGCGGGGCCTGTGGCAAAAAAGGGTGGGGCAACGAATGCAAATTCACATCTGTACGGTAGGACGATCGCTAGGCGAACTCCTTGCCCGTCTCGCTAACCTGCAGCCGGAAAAGAAGTGGCTTAGAGTTCGTGGACACACCCCAGCCAGAAAGAACTACCGTATTTTTTGCTCCATAACACTCACTTTTTTCCTCCTAGAAAGTAAGGGGAAATGTCTGTGCGTGTTATGGAGCGAATGCCTACTGATGGCAGGGGGATCTGCTGCAGTCGTGAGCAGAGGATCCATGGTTCCCCTTCCTTCCCTCCTCCGTGGCTCGCTTTGAAACAGCAAAGCGGGAGAAGAGCCACTGAGTGGGGAGAAGAGAGGGACAGAGAGCCTGGTTACAAAGCACGGATCCACATGAATCCTCAGGATTTTTGCACTGTGTCACCCCAAATTCACCATCAGATCACATAGCATGTCCATGGCTACAGCTTGCACCAAAAAAATCACGCACCCACTGTTGCCTGGGGCCGCAGTGGTGCAAAAACGTGGTTACAAAGCATGGATCCACATGGATCCTCAGGATTTTTGCATTGGGCTACCCCCAAACTCACCGTCAGATCACATGTCTGTGGCCACAGCATGAACCACAAAAATCATACATCCACTGTTTCGTTTAGAATATTTTTTTTTCTTGTTTTCCTCCTCTAAAAACTATGTGCGTGTTATGGTCAGGTGCGTGTTATAGAGCGAAAAATACGGTAGGTCCCTTTACTTTTTAAAGGTGCCAATTGGACTTGAGGGGTTTCTTTAAGTATTTAGCCCTCAGAATTTCATCTAACTTACAGTGCAACATATAACGAACGGTGATCTCAGCCAACTGACATCCGCAGACACGGAAGTGCAGTTCTCCGGGGATGTTTTTAATATCGCTCTTCCGGGAAGTTGGCTTTCATTGTCTTCACTTCTGGTCAGTACCTGTTTCAGCAGCTCCCTGCCCAAATCCCGTAAGACCTGGGTTCTGCTTTTGGAGGGGACAACAAGCCCCAAAGAGGCATCTGTTGGGACAGGATAAAAGGTAAAGGGACCCCTGACCATTAGGTCCAGTCGTGGCCGACTCTGGGGTTGCGGCGCTCATCTCGCTTTACTGGCCGAGGGAGCCGGTGTACAGCTTCCGGGTCATGTGGCCAGCATGACTAAGCCGCTTCTGGCGAACCAGAGCAGTGCACGGAAACGCCGTTTACCTTCCCGCTGGAGTGGTACCTATTTATCTACTTGCCCTGTTGTGCTTTTGAACTGCTAGGTGGGCAGGAGCAGGGACCGAGCAACAGGAGCTCACCCCGTCGCGGGGATTCGAACCGCTGACCTTCTGATCGGCAAGTCCTAGGCTCTGTGGTTTAACCCACAGCGCCACGCGCGTCCCTTGTTGGGACAGGATACTGGCATCCAACTTGGCTCCTCCATCATCCATGGCCTCTTCTCCCTCTCTTTCCCGCAGATCTGCCTACCAGCCAGGGCTGAGCAACATCAGCTACCGGGTCCTCCTCCGCTTCCCGCAGAGGGTGAAGAACCAAGGCACAGCCGACTTCCTCCCGGTCAAACCATACCACGCTTGGGAGTGGCACAGCTGCCACAAGTGAGTAAGCCAAGCCAAGCCAAGGTGCTCAGCTGGGGCCGAACTCTCTCTTCTGCATTTCTGTCCCCAGTAGATATCCAAAAGGGATGTTGAAAAGTAGGACCTCAAGAAGCTATCCCCACTCGCGTTTCCCAGGGACTGCATGCCCTCCATGTAAGATGCAACATAAGCAGTCAAGAACAACACTTCCTGTTTGCCCAGAGTGGACACACAGGGGGATGTTGGTCCAGCCAGGAGGACTTCCTGTCACACCTGGTCTGGAGCATCCTCCCCCTGCAGGTGACCAGGTAGATGGGTGTGACCCTGGGAGACCCCATAAAAGGGCTGGTCACTCAGCCTCTTCTTCTTCCTCCTTCCTCCTCTCCTTCCTCCCCTCTCTCCTCTCCCCTCTCCTTTTCTTCCTCTTCTCCTTCTCTCTTTTCTTCTCCTTCTCCTCCTCCTCTCTCCTTATCTTCCCCTTCCCCTTCCCTTCCCTCCTCCTCCTCTCTCCTTATCTTCTCCTCTCCTCCTCTCTCCTCTCTCCCTCTCCCTCTCTCTCTCTCTCCTCCTCCTCCTCTCTCTCCTTATTCTCCTCTCCTCTCTCCTCTCTCTCCTCCTCCTATTCTTCTTCTCTTCTCCTCCTCCTCTCTCCTTATCTTCTCCTTCTCCTCCTCTCTCTCCTATCTTCTCCTCCTCCTCGCTTCCTCTCTTCTCCTCCCTCCTCTCCTCCTTCTCTTCTCCTCCTCCTCTCTCCTTCTCTTTCTCTCTCTCCCCTCTCTCCCCTCTCTCCCCTCTCTCCCTCTCTCCCCTCCTCTCCCCTCTCTCCCTCTCTCTCCCCTCTCTCCTCCCTCCTCCTCCTCCGCCTCCTCATCTTCCCCTTCCCCTGGCCCCTTCCCCTTCCCTTTCCCCTTCCCTTCCACTTCTCCTCTCTTCCTTTCTCCTCTCTTCCCCTTCCCCTCCCCCTCCCTTTCTCCTTCTCCTCTTCTTCTTCGCTTTATTCCACCTTGATGTTATTTTGCTGTCTGCTGGCTCTCAGCCAGCAGCACATGGGCTCAGTCCCCCTATGGGATGAACCCACACTCTCTTCTGTAGCTACAAGCTAAAGCCTGCCTTCAGGATCATACCGCGAACTGAATGTAAGTAAACTTCTTATTACTTTTCAGAGAGGACTGTTGCGTCTTTATTCTTTTTAAGATGGAACAAAGGGGATTTACCAGGAACAAATCCAACCTGGACAAGCCAGACTGGATTGCTTAATTTAAGAGATTCTAACGAATCTACCAACTAGTTTCCTGCAATATACAAGGGAATGTACTCTGCTGCCAGCTCACTAGTGTGAGTGAGGAAGGATAATATTTAATCAATATATCCTGTCCTGCTATCCACGACATTCCCATACTCCAAGTGTCCCGATTTTCCAGAAATGCTTGTAAACCGATAAGAACATTGGCAGAATTATTGTAATAACCTGCAGTTTTATATGGAGTAGATGAATAAATGAGCAAAAGAAGTTAATTTAGAATATGCATTCAGGTGGGTAGCCGTGTTGGTCTGACGCAGTCAAAATAAATTTAAAAATTAAAAAAATTGTCCAGTAGCACCTTAGAGACCAACTAATACGTAGAAGATGTTTAAAACAAATTTAAGGAACTGCAGAAAGAGGAGGAAGGAAGTCACGTTTCGAAATCTTAAAATGATTGTAAAATCAGTGAAATGAATAAACCTGAGAAGTATTTTTAAAAATTTTAAACAAAAAACAAGAGAGTGGAAAAAGCTTTCATTTATCACTGCAGATTAAAAATAATGTTAATAAGGAACTTGGACCTTTGTCTTTTAGCCATTATCACAGCATGGAAGCCTTTAGTAACTATGACCTGCTGGATGCCGTCACCCACAAGAAGGTGGCAGAAGGACACAAGGCCAGCTTCTGCCTGGAGGATACGACATGCGACGCCGGAGTCCGGCGACGATACGCTTGCACGGCTCACACTCAGGTGAGGGGAGAAGAGATGCAGGGACAGCAGGGTTGCCCCCCCCTTTTTTACCAGCCTCTGCCTTTGTTCTGGAGGGGACACTGCATGCCTTTCCCTGCCAGTTCCCCTGTTGATCCACAGACAGGGCAGTTTTCTCCTTGCCAGTCTTGGTGTTGACCATTAAAGCCCTAAACAGCCTCAGTCCAGTATACCTGAAGGAGCATCTCCACCCCCATCGTTCTGCCCGGACACTGAGGTCCAGCTCCGAGGGCCTTCTGGTGGTTCCCTCTCTTCAAGAAGCCAAGTTACAGGGAACCAAGCAGAGGGCCTTCTTGGTGGTGGCACCCGCCCTGTGGAATGCCCTCCCGTCAGATGTCAAGGAAATAAACAACTACCAGACTTTTAGAAGACATCTGAAGGCAGCCCTGTTTAGGGAAGCTTTTAATGTTGAACAGACTACTGTGTTTTAATACTTTGTTGGAAGCCGCCCAGAGTGGCTGGGGAAACCCAGCCAGATGGGCAGGGTATAAATAATAAATTATTATTATTATTATTATTAGCCACTTAAATCAAAGCTGGCAATCAAAGCTAAAGCTATGCTATATTAGAAACTCCAGGGCAAGGCAGCAATATTTTATTTATCACAGGTTTTTATGGCCATTTCCACCTTGAGCTCATGGGGGGGAGATGAATGTGATAAATAACAAACTTTAGTGGCAGCTCTTAAAATTACGGAGACAAAAGGAGCCACCGGCTTCGTAGAAAGGGGTGCTAGTTGGAGAAGGCTGTACAAACCATGTTCAGAGAAGTATTCTGTCCGAAAGAAATACTCAGAGCAATGTGATGTTGTCTTCCTTTTAATTTTTTTTTTACTTTTATTAAGTATAAATTAGAAAACATATATATTTACAACAAAAGAAAATACAAAAGAAAAAAAATACATATAACCAAGGAAAAGAATTAGAGAATACTTTGTCTCTTTTCAGCTATTTGTTGTTGTTTAGTCGTTTAGTCGTGTCCGACTCTTCGTGACCCCATGGACCAGAGCACGCCAGGCACTTCTGTCTTCCACTGCCTCCCGCAGTTTGGTCAAACTCATGCTGGTAGCTTCAAGAACACTGTCCCACCATCTCATCCTCTGTCGTCCCCTTCTCCTTGGGCCCTCCTTCTTTCCCAACATCAGGGTCTTTTCCAGGGAGTCTTCTCTTCTCATGAGGTGGCCAAAGTCTTGGAGCCTCAGCTTCAGGATCTGTCCTTCCAGTGAGCACTCAGGGCTGATTTCCTTAAGAATGGATGTGTTTGATCTTCTTGCAGTCCATGGGACTCTCAAGAGTCTCCTCCAGCACCAGAATTCAAAAGCATCAATTCTTCGGCGATCAGCCTTTTTTATGGTCCAGCTCTCACTTCCATACATCACTACTGGGAAAACCATAGCTTTGAACTATACGGACCTTTGTCAGCAAGGTGATGTCTCTACTTTTTAAGATGCTGTCTAGGTTTGTCATTGCCCTTCTCCCAAGAAGCAGGCGTCTTTTAATTTCGTGACTGCTGTCACCATCTGCAGTGATCATGGAGCCCAAGAAAGTAAAATCTCTCACTGCCTCCATTTCTTCCCCTTCTATTTGCCAGGAGGTGATGGGACCAGTGGCCATGATCTTCGTTTTTTTGATGTTGAGCTTCAGACCATATTTTGCGCTCTCCTCTTTCACCCTCAATAAAAGGTTCTTTAATTCCTCCTCACTTTCTGCCATCAAGGTTTTGTCATCTGCATATCTGAGGTTGTTGATATTTCTTCCGGCAATCTTAATTCCGGCTTGGGATTCATCCAGCCCAGGCTTTCGCATGATGAATTCTGCATATAAGTTAAATAAGCAGGGAGACAATATACAGCCTTGTCGTACTCCTTTCCCAATTTTGAACCAATCAGTTGTTCCATATCCAGTTCTGACTGTAGCTTCTTGTCCCACAAAGAGATTTCTCAGGAGACAGATGAGGTGATCAGGCACTCCCATTTCTTTAAGAACTTGCCATAGTTTGCTGTGGTCGACACAGTCAAAGGCTTTTGCATAGTCAATGAAGCAAAAGTAGATGTCTTTCTGGAACTCTCTAGCTTTCTCCATAATCCAGCGCATGTTTGCAATTTGGTCTCTGGTTCCTCTGCCTCTTCTAAATCCAGCTTGCACTTCTGGGAGTTCTTGGTCCACATACTGCTTGAGCCTTCCTTGTAGAATTTTAAGCATAACCTCTATAAAATGCTATTCACAATAAAGGAGTGAAATGAAAGATAAGCTATCAGAAAAAAGAAAAAAAAGAACCAAGAAAAAATAAAGTAAAAGAGAAAGATCATAGGTGAAAATTTTTAAAAGTAGATAAGTATTCACTATACATAGCTGTTTCCCATCTATATTTATATTCAATTGTATAATTTCATCTTGTCCTTATCTACCTTAAATAAAGTGGTGGTTTTTTTAAAAAAAAGACTTCCACCGTTTGCCTCACGGGTTTTTAATAATCCGTTCATCAGATCCTCAGTTCTTCATGTGATGTTGTCTTCCATTCAGGGCCTGGGTCCTGGCTGCTACGACACATACGATGCTCACATTGACTGCCAGTGGATCGACATTACAGACGTCCCCCCCGGGAATTATATCCTCAAGGTATGGTTGGCTGCAAACCTCAAACTGGCAGGGAAATGGGCGTGGGCATGAGGCGTCATCCAGGAACACAGGGGCATTTTGCCTTGCCAGTGTAACGGACGCGGGTGGCGCTGTGGTCTAAACCACTGAGCCTCTTGGGCTTGCGGGTCGGAAGGTCGGTGGTTCGAATCTCCGCAACGGAGTGAGCTCCCGTTGCTCGTTCCCTGCTCCTGCCAACCTTGCAGTTAGAAAGCACGCCTGTGCAAGTAGATAAATAGGTACCACTCCGGCGGGAAGGTAAACGGCATTTCTGTGTGCTGCTTTGGTTTGCCAGAAGCAGCTTAGTCATGCTGGCCACAGGACCCGGAAGCTGTACGCCGGCTCCCTTGGCCAATAAAGCAAGATGAGCGCTGCAACCCCAGAGTCGTCTGTGATTGGACCGAACGGTCAGGGGTCCCTTTACCTTTTAAGGAGGATAAAGCTCTCAATAGAAACCACAGGACAGAAGGACGTGGCTCTTGTGCAGGGGTAGGCAACCTAAGGCCCGTGGGCCGGATGCGGCCCAATCGCCTTCTCAATCTCACAGGTTCATGCAGTTAATGATAATAATAATAGATGGGATGTGGGTGGTGCTGTGGTCTAAACCACTGAGCCTCTTGGGCTTGCCAATAAGAAGGTCAGCAGTTCGAATCCCTGCGACGGGGTGAGCTCATGTTACTCTATCCCAGCTCCTGCCAACCTAGCACTTCGAAAGCATGCCAGTGCAAGTAGATAAATAGGTAACACTGCGGCGGGAAGGTAAACGGCGTTTCCGTGCATTCTGGTTTCCGTCACGGTGTCCCATTGCGCCAGAAGCGGTTTAGTCCTGCTGGCCACATGACTCAGAAAGATGTCTGTGGACAAACGCCGGCTCCCTCGGCCTGAAAGCGAGATGAGCGCCGCAACCCCATAGTCGCCTTTGACTGGACTTAAGCATCCAGGGGTCCCTTTACCTTTATATTATATTTGAGAACCTAGAATTCTTGTAACAATTCTGGTCAATTCTGCATCCAGGGCAGCTGTCTACCAACTCCACCTGGTACGCAGGCTGAGACCCTCCCTGCCCGTGGACTGTCTCGCCAGAGTGGTGCATGCTCTAGTTATCTCCCGCTTGGACTACTGCAATGCGCTCTACGTGGGGCTACCTTTGAAGGTGACTGGGGGCGGCCGCCGAGACCACATAACACCGGTCTTGAAAGACCTACATTGGCTCCCAGTACGTTTCCGAGCACAATTCAAAGTGTTGGTGTTGACCTTTAAAGCCCTAAACAGCCTCGGCCCAGTATACCTGAAGGAGCGTCTCCACCCCATCGTTCTGCCCGGACGCTGAGGTCCAGCGCCGAGGGCCTTCTGGCGGTTCCCTCATTGCGAGAAGCAAAGCTACAGGGAACCAGGCAGAGGGCCTTCTCGGTAGTGGCGCCCTCCCTGTGGAACGCCCTCCCACCAGATGTCAAAGTGATAAACAACTACCTGACATTCAGAAGACATCTTAAGGCAGCCCTGTTCAGGGAAGTTTTTAATGTATGATATTTTAGTCTTTTTTGGTTTCTATGGAAGCCGCCCAGAGTGGCTGGGGAAACCCAGCCAGATGGGCGGGGTACAAATAATAAATTATTATTATTATTATTATTATTATTATTATTATTATTAGTCTTTCCTGGTGAAGAAGAGGAAAAACAAGCCTTATTACGATCTGAGCTTGCAACAGTTAAGGACACCGCCTGATTTTAGGAGAGGAAACAGTGGGGTGGAACTTGACTGTATTGTTCTCATCCCATTTTCAAGGTGACCGTCAATCCGGACTTCTTGGTGCCCGAGTCTGACTTCACAAACAATGCTGCCAGGTGTGATGTAATATACACAGGGACGCATGCCACCGCAAGGAACTGCAAGATCACCAGGTACCTTGAGGGAAGAGTGATTTGTAGCACTCGGCAGGGTCCCCTAGAGTCATCTAGTCCAGCCCCCCTTCAGAGCAGGGACAGTTTCCCTGCCTCCGTTAGGTGAAAAGAGAGGCCAGTAATGATGTCGTCAGCACATCGTCAAGAGTATTTTTCTCTCCAGGCAGCCATGTCGTTCTACAAAAAGAACAACAAACCCCTGTGTTGCAAACTTAACAACAAACAATACAAGCAACACGAAGACCAGTATACTAGATAGCACTGCAATTCTTATTGCATAATATACATGATTTAGTACAACAAAAACAAAATGTGTACACTTGTAAATTCTCTAATATATTTAAAATCATTAACAAGAACCCATTAAGTTAAGAAGCTATGTTTTTTTCCCTTTTTTAAATAGATGAATGACTATTGTAATGAACAAAAATGAACACAAAATGTAATGAACAAAAATGAACACAATGTTAGAGGTTTTTGTGAAGTAACAAGTTGGATATCATGCATGTGGGGTGAAGGGAGTCACACGGGTATTTGGGTATAAGGGAAGGTGGTTGCAGGGTTAGATGTGGGGAGTTTACAGAAATAATACCGTATTTTTCGCACCATAGGACGCAGTTTTTCCGTCTTAAAAACTAAGGGGAAATGTGTGTGCGTCCTATGGAGCGAATGCAGGCTCCCTGGCTTCAGCGATAGCAAGGCAAAGCCTCCGAAGCCTGCGCTCCGGAGGCTTCCTGTTGCTTCCACTGAAGCCAGGAGAGTCTGCTCTTTGAGGCTGGCGGGGGGAAAGCAGCGCTTCCCCCATCGCCAGCCCCAGAGGATGGGGGGCAGCAGGAAGGCGCGCGACGCCTTCCCGCTGCTCTCCAACCCTCCTGTGGGCTTTTGCGGGAGATGGGGGAATTCCCCCACCTCCCGCAAAAGCAGGCAAAAGCTGTGCGCTCTTTAAAGGGGCTGCACGGCTTTGCTGGCTTTTCTAGGAGGTGGGGGGATTCCCCCACCTCGCAGAAAAGCCTGCAAGAGCCTCGCAGCCTTTACAGAGCGCGCAGCTCTTGGGGGCTTTTCCCCAAGGAGGGAGAAGGGACTGACTGGCCGAGTCAGTCCCTTCTCCCTCCTGCGGGCTTTTGCGGGAGATGGGGGAATTCCCCCACCTCCCGCAAAAGCAGGGAGAAGGTCTTGGAGTAGCGCACAGGCTGCGTGCAGCCTGTCCACTGCTCCCAGAGCTGGGGGGGGGGGAATCATATTTTTTCCTTGATTTCCCCCCCTGAAAACTAGGTGCGTCCTATGGTCCGGTGCGTCCAATCGTGCGAAAAATACGGTATATTCGTGTTATGTACAATGTTGAAGGAGTATGGCAATCAACATGTAATGTGAATTAATTGAGGAAAATAAAAAAATTGGCAGGGACGCAGGTGGCGCTGTGGGTAAAACCTCAGTGCCTAGGACTTGCTGATCGTATGGTCGGCGGTTCGAATCCCAGCGGCGGGGTGTGCTCCCGTTGCTCGGTCCCTGCTCCTGCCAACCTAGCAGTCTGAAAGTACGTCAAAGTGCAAGTAGATAAATAGGGACCGCTATATAGCGGGAAGGTAAACGGCGTTTCCGTGTGCTGCGCTGGTGCTGGCTCGCCAGCTGCAGCTTCGTCACGCTGGCCACGTGACCTGGAAGTGTCTTCGGACGGCGCCAGCTCACGGCTTCTAGAGCGAGATGAGCACGCAACCCTAGAGTCAGATACGACTGGCCCGTACGGGCAGGGGTACCTTTACCTTTACCTTTTTAATAAAAAAATTATTAAAGGGGGGGAATAAACTGAGCCGTAGAAAAGCAAAATAAAATAAAATAAAATTGTTAGCAGGATTGGAATATCACTTGTAGTTTAATGGTGAATTTTGGACACAGTGGAGATGTAAAAGATTTGGATGATCATAAAAGATGCAGGAGGAAATTATTAGGGAAGCTTTTAATGTTTAATAGGTTTTGTATTTTAATAGTCTGTTGGAAGCCGCCCAGAGTGGCTGGGGAAACCCAGCCAGATGGGCAGGGTATAAATAAATTTTATTATTTATTGTTATTAATTATTATTATTTTTTTATTTTTATTATTATTATTATTATTATTATTAACAGGGGAGGCGGAAAGTCCTTGGAATCTTGTTTTCATGTTGTATATTCGATATATGACTGTAAAGTTTTAATCTGAAAAGCCAAATAAATAATTTTTTCTAAAGAAAAGTAAAAACACGTTTGTGAATTGATGTTATGACTCAACTGCGATTTCTTTCCTATCCCCGCCCTCTGCAGCAACTAAACGGCAACCCAATCGCAGTGGAGCGAGACGGCTTCGTACCCCATTTCCCTCAAATGCTTCAAACCATCTCTGCAACCCCGCTGGACCGAAGGAGACTCTGTGGCTCAAGACACGTTTTAAAATTTGCCCAGTCCTCGCTTCCTATCCTGTCCCAGCTGCCGCCAGTATTAAGTATTAGGCATTTGCTTTTAGGGAGACTGCTGATATATTGACACTAGCCTAGGACTTGCCGATCAGAAGGTCAGCAGTTCGAATCCCCGCGACGGGGTGAGCTCCCGTTGCTCGGTCCCTGCTCCTGCCAACCTAGCAGTTCAAAAGCACGTCAAAGTGCAAGTAGATAAATAGGTACCGCTCCGGCGGGAAGGTAAACGGCGTTTCCGTGCGCTGCTCTGGTTGGCCAGAAGCGGCTTAGTCCTGCTGGCCACATGACCCGGAAGCTGTACGCTGGCTCCCTCGGCCAGTAAAGCGAGATGAGCGCTGCAACCCCAGAGTCGGCCACGACTAGACCTAATCGTCAGGGGTCCCTTTACCTTTACCTTACCCTTACCCAGAGAGAGAGAGTATAGAAGAGGAGGGAGCTGCCTGAACCCACCCACCTCCCCTTTCCCAAGGCAGAAAAAGCACACATTGCACAGAATGGTACCCAACGATAATGGTACCCACTAGGTCATTTTCCAGGTCCCAGCTCTACAGTTCTGCAGCTCTAAGAAAACCTCCGAGAAAAACCACCAGCAAACTTTTTCAGCAGGGGGCAGTCCACTGTCCTTCAGACCTTGTGGGGGGCCGGACTATATTGGGGGGGGGGGGAATGAATGAATTCCTATGCCCCACAAATAACCCAGAGATGCATTTTAAATAAAAGGACACTCATGTAAAAACACTCTGATTCCCGGACCGTCGGTGGGCCAGATTTAGAAGGCGATTGGGCTGGGTCCGGCCCCCGGGCCTTAGTTTGCCTACCCATGAATTCTAAGCCTTTCCCTGCCATAAATTTGAGGTGCTTGTGTTATTTCAATGGTGCAGCAGGATTGATGCCAGCATAGAGAGTGCAGCAGCCGTGTGCCCCAAATAAGCAAACTTGCAACTGCCACGCCACCAGCCATCTAGGGATGGAATTAGAAACCACGCAATAGACACATCTCAGAGCCACGTCTGAACAGAAGCACCCAACTCCTTCGAAAGCCACACTCCTCTGAGCTTTGTGGTGCGGCCTTCCAAGCAAACGATACGTACAAAAATTTACCTGTTCGGAAGAAATGTGCATCGATTAGGCGAGGCGGCGTACAAAGATGTATCCGGAGAAATTGGCACTAAAAAGATGTCAGATTCCCACGAGGAGTTTGTTTGTTTTCCCCTTCAGTGAAAATTGCAGCAGAAATGTGGAGGACTGGTTTCATGATTGCAAAAATTAGAAGTCTAAGTCAGGGGTCAGCAAGCTTTTTCAGCAGGGGGCCGGTCCACTGTCCCTCAGACCTTGTTGGGGGCCGGACTATATTTTGAAGAAAAAAATATGAACAAATTCCTATGCCCCACAAATAACCCAGAGATGCATTTTAAATAAAAGCACACATTCTACTCATGTAAAAACAAATGCTGATTCCCGGACCGTCTGCGGGCCGGATTGAGAAGGTAATTGGGCCGGATCTGGCCCCCGGGCCTTAGTTTGCCTACCCATGGTCTAAGAGAACCAAAACTGACTGATTCATTCATCCCTAGTGCCAAATGTCCTTTGGCCCAGCAGAAGGAAGACCTCACATTTTCCCAGCTTCACCAGCTCGCCTCCATCGCTCGTTTATCCAGCTTCACAACACTCTTTCCTTTTTCGCCTCTCCCCTTGGCAAAACGCAAATGTTAAGCTTGATGCAAAGGGGCGAGGGCACTGTCTGTGGGGTCTTCTGTGCAAAGTGCATTGATGGTGCTTTAATACTTAAAAACAACAACTAGGGGCTGGAGCCCTGCTTGCTCTGTAGCCAACCCCTCTGACCTTCCCGTTAATCCCGCTAGAGCTTTGCCTTACTGCCCCACGCAACTACGAAAATCGCTTCTCACCTCCCCAGCCCTATCCCAGAACAGTGGCAGACTTTGGACTTCCAAATTTCAGTAGACGCACCCAAAAAGTGAAAACCCAGACATGAGGGTTGTTGTGCTATTTTTTTCTTTTGCAAGATCTCAACAAAATTGGAAGTTTTTGAGCTACTTTTAAGCAGATTCGCCAAGATCTAGACTGCTGTATTCCTGCGCTGCCCAACCAGCCAAGTCCCAAGTACTTGCCTGAAGGCAGAGTCCGTATCCTGTCCAGTCCTTAGGTCAGAAGTATCTCAGTTCATGTAGTCAGTCGTTCCGGGGGTCCAGAAAGCCGGGGGTCCAAGGTCGCAAGAAGCACCAAGGTCCAGCCAGGAACGACGAATGTTGTTTCCAGCAACTGAGTGAAGCCGGAAACCCTGCTTAAGAAAGCTGGAGCCAGCTGGTTCACATCAGGAGCAAGAAGGCTGATTGGCAGCAGGTGGAGTCACTCTGCCTTCTCCCCCTTCAGGCTGCTGTTCAACAGGTGAAGCTGAATCCTGGCAGCCCTGGTTGTACGCCAACAGTGTGAGCAAACACTCGCCTAAATCTGCCTCTGCTCTGAAACCGCATCTATTTTGCAGCTCCAATTTCCACCCCTCGTTTTGCCTTCGCCGCCCTGTCTACGCTTCCTCCTTTCCTTGGGCGCAACGCCCCCTTGCACACAGATCCCCCCCCAGGGCCACCTCTTGCACCGCCCTCCACCCACACGTTGCAACTGCAAAGCACCCTCTCACCTTCCGCCCAGTTATGGCCAGGGACTGGCTGGGTGATGAGTGGTGGGGGTACTAGTTGGGGAACCCCCAGGGGAAACCCCAGAGGAGGAGGAGGAAGGCTCAGAGCCCGGTGGGTTGGTGGTGGGGCACCGAGGAGAGGTCAGAGGGGAAAGACAGGGAGGAGGGATTGGATGCTGAAGGGGCAACAGGATCGAGTGAGCAGGGAGATTCGGTGACAGAGAGCAGTTCAGACTTGGAGACTGAAGTGGAGGGGGGACGGGGAGGGGAAGAGGAATCCCAGGAGGTTGTCTCTCCTACCGCAACAAGCTTTCCTCTCTTCCCCTGCCCGCCCCCTGTCTCCAAGGACGCACAGGCTGGTGCGTAGAGGCAAACGTAGAGCAGGGGGCCCCAAAGCAGTAGGAGGCTGCTTGGGAGACATCTGGCAGTGGAGTCCTAGAATCATAGAATCCTAGAGTTGGAATAGACCACAAGGGCCATCGAGTCCAACCCCCTGCCAAGCAGGAAACACCATCAGAGCACTCCTGACATATGGTTGTCAAGCCTCTGCTTAAAGACCTCCAAAGAAGGAGACTCCACCACACTCCTTGGCAGCAAATTCCACTGTCAAACAGCTCTTACTGTCAGGAAGTTCTTCCTAATGTTTAGGTGGAATCTTTCTTGTAGTTTGGATCCATTGCTCCGTGTCCGCTTCTCTGGAGCAGCAGAAAACAACCTTTCTCCCTCCTCTATATGACATCCTTTTATATATTTGAACATGGCTATCATATCACCCCTTAACCTCCTCTTCTCCAGGCTAAACATGCCCAGCTCCCTTAGCCGTTCCTCATAAGGCATCGTTTCCAGGCCTTTGACCATTTTAGTTGCCCTCCTCTGGACACGTTCCAGTTTGTCAGTGTCCTTCTTGAACTGTGGTGCCCAGAACTGGACACAGTACTCCAGGTGAGGTCTGACCAGAGCAGAATACAGTGGCACTATTACTTCCCTTGATCTAGATGCTATACTCCTATTGATGCAGCCCAGAATTGCATTGGCTTTTTTAGCTGCCGCGTCACACTGTTGGCTCATGTCAAGTTTGTGGTAATCCAAGACTCCTAGGTCCTTTTCACATTAAGAGTCGTGTTAATGGAGGTAGAAGGAGGGAACCACCGTTTCCTGGTGTCAGGATGCTGCCAGCGGCTCGCAGCTGGTTGCTCGGGAATTATGAAGACAAGGAAAAGTTTCTTACCATCCTTTTTTAATTCAGTCTTTACAGAGAGAGGCTATAGAACCCAGCCTCTTGGATAATGGCGTTGTCCCAAGTGAATCTCCACACAAACACACCCCATCTCTCCCACTTCCTCATTCGTCACTTCTACGGGTGCTGCTATATGCCCACTGTCTTTGAGCTCTTTGCTCTTCTACTTTCAAGGCTCACCTGGTTCTGGGAGAGCTTTCTAATGCTTTCTAATGATCACGGCAGATGGTGACAGCAGCCACAAAATTAAGAGACGCCTGCTTCTTGGGAGAAAAGCGGTGACAAACCTAGACAGCATCTCAAAAAGCAGAGACATCACCTTGCCAACAAAGGTCCATCTAGTTCAAGCTACGGTTTTCCCAGTAGTGATGTATGGAAGTGAGAGCTGGACCATAAGGAAGGCTGGTTGCCAAAGAATGGATGCTTTTTAATTCTGGTGCTGGAGGAGACTCTGGAGAGTCCCATGGACTGCAAGAAGATCAAACCTCTCCATTCTGAAGGAAATCAGCCCTGAGTGCTCACTGGAAGGACAGATCCTGAAGTTGAGGCTTCAAGACTTTGGCCATCTCATGAGAAGAGAAGACTCCCTGGAAGAGACCCTGATGTTGGGAAAGATGGAGGGCACAAGGAGAAGGGGACGACAGAGGACGAGATGGTGGGACAGTGTTCTCGAAGCTACCAGCATGAGTTTGACCAAACTGCGGAAGGCAGTGGAAGACAGGAGTGCCTGGCGTGCTCTGGTCCAGGGGGTCACGAAGAGGCGGACACGACTAATTGACTAAACCACAACAACGACAGCTGGGTGTTGTTTTTCTGGCTCCCCCATGATTTTCCAGCTTTTCCCCTCGCCTGCCTCTGAGCTGTGACCTCCCTCAAACCCCCGTTGTAAATCTATCCTGTCTTCCTCTTCCTCCTCTATGGAAGGGGCAGGATGGGGGCAGGCGGTCTCCACCATTCCTCCTCTGCCCAGTCCCTGAAACCTGGCAACTGCCCTATAGCGGAAAGACCTGCTAGAAGTGTGCTGAGCTTTTTTCTTGAACAAAGAATCAGTTGCACTGACAGGCTCTGCTTCTTGTGTCTCAACCTCCATCCGAACCCAGCCTTGACAATTATGGAGCCATCGTCTGCACCTGTTCTCTCAACCCCATTCCCATGCCAACTTGCTCTCTCCATTTTTGCAACAACAAAAAACAACCTTCGCACCCCATTTTCTCCTTGACCCCTCCTTGCTTTTCTCAACTCTCCCTTGAACCCAGATCA